TGAATTTACCCTCTGTATGTGTTAAGTAAATACATTTGCCTTGCCTTACATGAAATTCACGCAACTCTTAATATTAGAACACTTCGATTTATCACTGCCTGGGTTTTGGTTGAAGTGCATCCAAATGCTGCTGCATTTTCGCGTTTGGCTCATTTTCCATCCGAAAAACACGTTGTCTACCTGTCCTTTAGGCTACCACTTGTTATGACTTCTCTCTCTCGCGTATTCCCTTAAGACCCACCCCATCTCACTCCTCGTGCTGAAACCTACCAATCAGAGTAGGGGCGGGTCTTCACAGAATACGTTTGGGGAACAAAATCAAGCTTTTTAAAAGGCGAGTGGATTTTGACAGGCAGTGAGAGTGGACCAACGATAAAAAGAACGGCTCTCACCAAGTACGACTCGGTTCCCTTCGTTCGTACCAAAGAGCCGTTCAAAAGAATCGGCTCGTTCGCGACCGACACATCACTAGCGCAAACTAGAGAGCTGCAGCGAGAGCAAAGGTCTGATCATTGAGAAAGAAGGAAAGAGAACTGCAAACAAAAATATGTTAAAACAAAGAAATAAGACTTATAGTTGACATGATTACACAAATGATTTGTTTACAACTTATAGTTTTATTTTTTTAATTTATTTTGCTTGACTCGTTGTTTTTTCTCTTAAACTCTTAGTTTTGCTTGATTCTGAGAAAGTGTTGCTTTATCTTTATGACTCAAAACTAATCCAATCCAATCCTCTATTCAAAAATATAATTCAGTGTCCATCGAAATGAAAATAACTAAAAGGTTCATGCTGGACTCAAACCCGTGTCCCAACAGCAAAAATCACTCGAGTCCTGCGCGTTATGTGAGCCACGGATCAATACGACATCTTCATTCATCACAGCTGAATTTCACACATTAACATTGTTAAAAGATTCAGAAAAATGCAACCCAACCATCATTTATAATGTGAGCAAATGTATGTACACTTTAATCCATATAATATACATATTATAGTAGGCATTTGCTTATAAATAGTATATACTGACTGAGGTCTGTATCAAGCCTCATTAAGACCCACCGAGATCAGATATCCTAGTTTATCAGCCTGCCAGTCCACATTATGTTGTGATAAGTGGTAATTTTACATGTAAATGTATTCCAGTGCACACATTAAGTTCAAATATGCAAATCAGGCCAAGTGTTTCGTTATGTAGTTATAATCATCACCGACAGATGGAAAGACAACAATAACAAGGAATTAATATGAATATTACCAAGTTACACAGAAATAGATCAAACATATGAGAACAAAGACCACAAAGATAAAAGCATAAAACATGTTCACAACAGTGTGAAAAAGTTATTTGTGTTTCTAGTTCTCAACGTATGTGAGTACCCTTGTCATTTGGTGTCGCTGTATCGATGCATAACAAAAGTTAACCAAGTAAACAGTCACATCTTATCTGGAAAAGTGCTGCAAAGTGCAGAATACCATTTTGATAAGGGATACATGTGTGTAGTCTTTAATATTAAACATGATCGCTGGTAGATAGCCACAGAAGTCGTATCACAGTTTAACCTGAGCGGATCACAGCTCCACAGCTGAAGACTTCTCCAAGCTGCTTTCAAACTGTGAGTAAACTGCGCGTGCTTCACTTGGAGGCTGTCTGAAGGTGTACACAGGGCTCAGATTATTTTTCTGACGACTTTTTACTTTGACTTCTTACATTTTGAACAGAAATACCTGAACTTTCTACTTCTTACATTTTCCAAACAGGCTGGTTACTTTAGTTTGAATCTGTGTTTGGTGGCGTGATCATTATTATTTAGAGTCATTGCGTGCCTATTGATTTGAACACGATCCGTGTATCCATCATTTCCTGGTCTTCTCTAAAGAAGAGGGACCAATGAAAACGTTGTCATGTTGCCGTTGTTCAGCATGGAAACATTCATTAGCTAACAATGACATTATTGTTCTATTAATATAAAGGGAAGTCAGGTACTCTTTAAAACAGCTGGTAGTTATGGGTACTTTTTACTGAAGTACATTTTCAAAGCCCATACTTCTTTACTTTTTATCTGTACTTCTACTTGAGTAAAGGATGTGTGTACTCTTGCTCTCTCTGCTTTTATCCAAAGCGACAGGATGTGGGCAAACCCACGACATGTTGACTGCAGTAATCAGAAGTTCAGCGCACTCCCTCACTGAGCCACAGCCTCCTATGATAGTTACATGAGCAACCTGTGAGAAGTCTGACTTATGTGTTGTATTGAAACCAAAGTTTGTCATTATGATGTTTTTTATTAACCTGTTAAGCCCTGAGCCTGTTTTTCAGGTCTCAGGCTCGAAAATGAGATTCCAAATTCCAAACAAATTACTAATTAATAATCTTTTTTCTCAAAGCAATGATACACCTGTGAGTTGGATGTAGAAAAGTCAGAATCAATATAGATTTTTTTATTTTAAAGTCAATTCAGATTGAACATATTAATAAAATGTAAATTATAGTCCAAAAAACAAACATTACTTATAGTGAAAACCACCCTTGAATGATGGGATAGTAGACTAAAAGCTTTAGGAATCCAAACTATAACATATAAGTGATATTTGATCTTTTTAGAGAGGTTTAGAAAAAAGAAACCACTTCTGGGGTCATTTGGGTGGATTTTCCATATCTCTGGCCCCCCTCGGTTGATTTTGATGATTGACATCTCTTTTTAACCTGTTAAGCACCAAGCCTGTTTTTCATGTTTCAGGCTCGAAAATGAAATGCCCAAAACAAATGACTACAACTTAACTTCTAAAAGGGTTATATGAATAATCTTTTTTCTCAAAGTAATGATAAACCTGTGAGTTGGATGTAGAAGTGTCAGAATCAATATAGATGTTTTTTATTTTAAAGAAAATTCAGATTTTACATAGTAAAAAACTGTAAATTATAGTGTCCGTCCAAAAATTCTTTTTTACTTATAGTGAAAACTACCCTTGGATGATAGGTTAGTAGACTAAATGCTTTAGGAATCCAAAGTACAACATATAATAAGTACCCTGTATCAAGATTGATGCAAAACAAGTGACATTTGACCTTTTTAGAGAGGTTTAGCCAAAACCACTCCACCTCTGAGGTGATTTGGGTGAAAATGTTTCTTTTTCCATATCTCTGGAACCCATTGGTCGATTTTGATGGTTGACACCTCTTTCTGACCGTTAGAGCCAATAAAATCGAAGGGGGAGGCCCCCACACACACTCGTTGTGAAAACAAATGGTGGGGGCTTCCCGCATGCAGGTTTGCACCAGAGTGAAGCGATCTCTCGCTCTGACATTTGGAAATGAAAAAGCAGTTTTATTGCTTATGGATTATCAGAAATCATTTCAAAGAGGACACAGACACATTGGATTAACCTATGGATTAACTGCAGCATCGTTTTTTTATCGTTTTAATGCCATTGAAGACCAGTTTTGACCAAGGTAAGCCATGTTAGCGTTTCTAGCTACCTAGCTCCACATGTTATAATGTACGCTTTCGTTTATAGCGTCGCAAATGTTTATCACTGAGTGTTGAGGTGGGCACCCCCAGATTCTGTGTCTCCAGGAGATGCTAATCGAGGTGTTGGCTGTGCATCTAGGATAAGTAATAAGGGAGTTATGAGTGAGTTTAGGTGCAGTGATAGGTTACATTTTTTCGCTCGTGGCTAATTCAGAGGCTGAGTTAGCATTGTGTTTTTTTTTTGGATTTTTTTTTTAAAAAGATCAGTTAGCTGAGTTTCTTCCCGTTACATGGATATAAAACATTCATAGTTTATTAAATATTAAGATTCCTTAGACGTTGTTTCCTGCAAATGACGCGTTTATCCGCCCGGTACCGGGGGGGCGGTGCGTAACAGGTTAACCGTTAGAGCCAATAGAATCGAGGGGAAGTTCCTAAAATCCATCTAAATATTACCCATTGGTGAATAGAGTGATACGTATCCAGAATGCCCCGGAACAGGAAGCTGTCATACACTCTGGTTGCTATCATTAGCAGCTAATATCAAAAGTCAGTTTTTAACATAAAAATGGAATGATGGATTATCAGTAATCATTTCTAAGTGACTCAGACACATTGGATTAACCTTCAGCCGCGTTTTTAATCGTTTTAATGCCATTGAACACAGAAAACAAAACAACACAGGTAAGACGTTTTTTGCGGTTTTGGCTACCTAAAGCTATTTATCTTTGTTGTTGTTAGTTGTCGTTTCGCCGCAAGTTCTAATCGCTCAGTGATGAGACTAATATATCTGGAATCTGTGGAATCTCACGATGCTAATTGATGTATTGTATGTGCATATACGATCAGTAATAAGGGTATTTGTACCGAGTTCCTTGCTAAGTGCGTAAGAATTTTTTCGCTCAGGGCTAATTCAGAGGCTCGGCATTAGACTTGTGCTTTGTTTCGGTTAAAATGGTTCATATCTTCAGTTAGCTGAGTTTCTAACGGTTACGTGAGTATGACACATTAATAGGTTTTTAAATATTAAGAAGCCCTGAGACACAGTGTCGTGAAAAAACACACCGCAGGCCCCCGATTAGGGTCCTCTCGGGCTTAACAAGTTAAATTGTAATGTAAAATTACATGTATTTTTAAACACGAGTATCTGTACTTCTACTTGAGTAAAGGTGTGTGTACTTTTGCAATCTCTGCTTTTATCCAAAGCGACAGTATGTGGGCAAACCCACGACATGCTGACTGCAGTAATCAGAAGTCCAGCGCACTCCCTCACTGAGCCACAGCCTCCTATGATAGTTACATGAGCAACCTGTGAGAAGTCTGACTTATGTGTTGTGTGTGTGTGTGTGTGTGTGTGTGTGTGTGTGTGTGTGTGTGTGTGTGTGTGTGTGTGTGTGTGTGTGTGTGTGTGTGTGTGTGTGTGTGTGTGTGGTGTGTGTGTGTGTGTGTGTGTGTGTGTGTGTGTGTGTGTGTGTGTGTGTGTGTGTGTGTGTGTGTGTGTGTGTGTGTGTGTGTGTGTGTGTGCAGTGTTACTGGTGTATCTGTCAGACTGGAGAAGATGAGTGATTCAAAAGATGAGGAGGAGGACACATCTTCCGTCCCCAGCTGTCTGTCTCTGAAGAGTGACCGGTCTAAAGGCAGACTTCTGGACTTCAGGGATCAACCTGGACCCTCAGAAACAAAGTAAGAGTCTGTTTCTCCTGTGAACTGACCTGAAGAGAGATTCAGTGTTTATGTTATCTGATCATCTAAACTGTTATTTCGTAACTACATGAGCGCAGTACAGAAACAAAGAAGAAGAAAGTTAAACCCTCGTGGCGTGGGTCAGAAACATCTTTTTGAATAGATTTTTTTCAGATGGAAAATAACAAGAGTAAGAACTTGGTGGGCAGGATGTTGTTAACCCTTTAACTGCCAGCGCCACCATTTGGTAGAGCACATTTTGTGTCTTGATATCTTGTTGAAAAAAAGAAAAAAGAAGTTGAACTCCATCTGATTCAGCCAGCTCTACCATCTGGTTGACGTGTCATGCACAAAACAACCTCTAGATGTCACTGTGGGTTGAACAGAAAGCCCTTCAGCTAGCTTCCACTGAGGAAGTTGGCATGCTAAAAATCACTGCTGAAGAAATCACTCTTTTTGGTCAACTTTTGTAAGGTAACCATATCAATTTTGACATATGTTAGTGTCAGAGCACTTACTGAACATATTTAGATAACTTGATGCACAAAAAAAGTTTTAACAAGGGTGTAATTATGTTTTGGAAAATATGCTCAACCAATCGGTCGAATTGGCCTTTTATGGTAAACTAGCAATATTACTTTTTCAGAGTTTCAGAGATGTTTTCCAATAAAATATGGTAAATAAATGGCTAGATTCATGGTAATATTACTAAATCTAGTACTGCCTTATGAGTCTCAGAGTGAAAGAGTGATAATAATTGATATAGCACCTTTCGTGCATGGCATGAAACAGTTGCACAATCCTGTGATCACGGATGATTAGCAGGAGTGCTGATCTCTGCTGATTGCACCCAGGTGTGTGTTCCAAGATGGCAGCACGTTGATTTGTTTCTGTCTCTGTTAGTCTCATTCTCGTTGTTTTTTTGGCATTAACTACCTCTTGTGCATACTGACATTTAAAAAAAAAAAAAAAAAAAATTATTTTGCTTTTTAGACCCGTTTTTAAATTGGTCTGCTGCGCTTTTAAAAACGTTTTAAAAGCTTTTAAAAGTTTTTGGGCTGTTTTGCGTCGTTTTGTGCCGGTGCCTCGCTGTGACTGGATTGTTTGCTCTCTGCCTGAGCTGTCGCTCTTTCGGACTGTGGATTGCTGTCTGTCCTGCCGTGCTGTCGGGGGCTGGTCGACCTGAGCTGCTGATCGACCTGAGCTGCTGGGACCTGAGCTGCGGATCCTGAATTGGGTGTGTTGCAGCTCAATGTTGCCTAAAGCTACCCTTGTGTTCGCTTTTTTCCTGGGATTAATTGTCAGCCCGCATGTCGGCAAAACTGACGGATTGCCTCCCAGCGATGCCTCTGTTCACTTCGGACATTCGGATGGTGGAACCTCTGGAGCGCTGACTCCATCGGATAGTTTTTACCAAAAGCTGACGTTTCATGGCACGAAATGGGCACTCCCGTATGCCCTTTTGACTCTGGACTCGCTAATATCGAAGGATCGGAGCAGCCCTGCCCCTCTGAGGAGTGACGCATCCAGAGCACATGTGAAAAAATCATCTTCCAGACTGTTAATATTGTTACTGCTATTACTCTCTGGGAACGTTAACATTAACCCTGGTCCTGAGTGTTTCTCTGCTTCCTTGCATCATTTGCCAACTCCGAATGAGTTTAGCTGTAGGCAAGGATTGGGTTTTCTGCATGTTATGGCGCGTTTCCACTACACGGCCTCGCTCGGCCCCGCTCGGTATGGCTGGGCCTCGTTAGGACTGGCTCACTTTATGGCGCATTTCCATTACAGTTTAGGAACTGGGGCAGTATCTATAGTAACGCAGTGTAGGCGGAGCCGTGACGTGATCTTCAGAGGACCCCAGAAAAACAACACAGCCGTTAGCTGTTAGCACTCAGAGCTCACAGCTCCTCATATATGTTCAGAAACTAGACAAAAGTTAAACAAGTACAAACCACAGACTGCCTGTGTCATGGTGAATACAGTCGCTGCTTTATTTATGTCTGTATAGGCCGTTGTTGTGAGTGTGGACGGTCGGAGCATATACTGCGTTAGCTTAGCCAATCTCCATTTAGAAAACAAGCATTTTAAAAGGTTTTTCCCCTGCCGTCTGTCTGCAGACTTGACAAAGCATTAATTCATGGTTTTTACTAACCGGTATCAGTATGTTGTTACTTCGGCATCATTTTGAAACGTGTATTACAATTAAATCACGGTCAAATATGTCCATCTTGTTGTAGTTGTAGCCCCCTTGCCAGCGACGCTCTCTCTAGTTTAGCATACTCAGCCCGACTCAGCCTCGTTGTCTCTGGCCCTGGACCCACGATTTTATGAGGCCAGAAAAACTGTGAATTAGGACCCGCCGGCCGGTACTAGGCCAAGTGGAAACGCAACCAAAGACGGGCCGCTGACGTCACAGCCCTCTTAAACCGGGCTGCGCGCTGTAGTGGAAACGCGCCATTAATGCTAGAAGCCTAGTGCCCAAATTAGATGTTTTCAAGACCTGGTTTTTAGTTGCTAAGCCTGATATTGTTGTAGTTTCTGAAACCTGGTTAAAACCCTCTGTCACTGACACTGTTATTCAGATTGATGGATATAATGTATTCAGAGCTGATCGTAAGGGCAGAGCTGGTGGTGTTGCAATATACACTGCTGAGAAACTACAGTGCTCTGTCCTTCACTCAATTTCAATTCCAAGGCAATTTGAGTTGCTAGCAGTCCAAATAACTATAGCAAATGCTCCTCTCACTGTTATTGGCTGTTATAGGCCTCCATCGACCATCATGGATGCAACTACTAGCCTTATTGAATTGTTGTCTAAGTTTTCTTCTGAAATCATTTTATTGGGTGATTTAAATTGGGACTGGTTAAGTGATAAATCTTCACAGTTTAAGCAGGTTTGTGATTCTTTGAACTTAACTCAGCTTATTGATAGTCCCACTAGAATAAACCCTGCCAAACCCAATAACGATACCCTTATAGATGTCATTCTAACAAATGCAGCTCATAAGTATGTGTCTGTTGGTGTTTTTCCTAATAATATCAGTGACCATTGCACTATCGCTTGCGTTAGGTGCACTAAGTTGCCCAAAGCCAAGGGCCTTATTGTGCTCAGGCGCTGCTTCAAACACTTCTCTGAGCAGGCTTTCCTACACGATCTGGCGGAGGTTAAATGGCACTTCACAGCGTTAATTCCATCTGTTGATGTTGCCGTCCAATTTTTTATTGATCACTTTTTATCAATTATTAATAGACATGCCCCCCTTAGAAAATTCAGAGTTAAGAATAGGAACACTCCATGGTTTACCAGAGAACTATCTGATCTCATTCATGATCGAAATAAGCAATGGTCCTTAGCTAGAAAGTCTAACACTAGTGATGACTGGCTTCTTTTTCGTGTCCTTAGAAATAAATGTTCTGCCCTTATTAAAAAAGCTAAAGCTGATTACTATCTGAGCTTAACCACTGATTGTTTTAATGACCATTCCAAATTCTGGAAAACAATTAAATCACTTCAGAACAAGAAGGTTTCTAGTTTCCCACAAAAACTGAAGGTCAGTGATTCTTTTATTTCAGATTCAGATGGTATGTCTAATGCCTTTAATGCTCACTTCAAAAAGGCTGGTCACATTTTTGATGAGCAAAGTCATGACTCTCTAAATGGTCGTACTCACAGCCATAGTCAAGAGTTGAACTCCCCTGTTTTTGATTTCGCTTATTTCTCGGTCTCTGAAGTCTTACAGGGTTTGCACTCGATTGATCCTAAAAAGTCTGCCGGGCCTGACGGCCTTGACCCGTTCTTTTTAAAAATTGCAGCTCAGATGATAGCACAACCAGTAACTGATATTTTTAATCTCTCCCTGTCCACTCACACACTGCCAGCTGTGTGGAAGCAAGCTCTGGTATCGCCCCTCTTGAAAGCTGGTGATCCCACGGAGTTGAATAACTATCGTCCTATCTCAAATCTTTCTGTGTTATCAAAGATTCTTGAGTCCCTTGTTTCTACTCAGCTAAAACTTTTTTTAAATTCACACAACATCCTTAACCCTATGCAATCTGGATTCAGATCAAAGCACAGTACTGTGACTGCCAGTCTGAAAGTCTTAGATGATATTAAGGCTGCTTTGGATAAGAAATCAGTTTGTGTTGCATTGTTTATTGACCTAGCCAAAGCATTTGACACTGTAGATCACCACATTATGTCTAATGTTATGTTGGTGTCTCGTTTCGGTCACAATGCCATTTGCTGGTTTCAGAGTTATCTAACCGACCGTACTCAATGCGTCAGGTTGGGTAGTACTGTCTCTGACCCTGTCACCTTGGAGAAGGGAGTTCCACAGGGCTCTATCTTGGGGCCCTTGCTCTTTTTATTATATGTAAACAATATTTGTAATCAGATGCAATTTTCTACCTATCATATGTATGCTGATGACACTATTGTATACTCGTGTGCTCCTTCTCTGGATATGGCCGTTTCCAATTTAAAATCAGATTTTATCACGCTGCAGCATGCGCTTCTTGATTCTAAACTGCTATTGAACAGTAAGAAAACCAAAGCAATGCTTTTTGCTCCCAAGTCAGCGTCCTCCTCTTGCCTCTCCATTGACACCCTTGATGGCGTTTCTGTTGAGTTTGTTGATACCTACAAATATCTGGGCTTTTGGTTGGACAGTAATCTGAACTTTAAACACCATATTGAAGTTTTAACAAAGAAATTGAAATTCACTCTTGGCTTCCTTTTCAGATTTAAATGTTGTTTTTCAATTTCATCCCGTAAAAGGTTGGTCTCTGGCTTATTCCTGTCCCAGCTGGACTACGGTGATACCATTTATAGATTTGCCTGTCCCACTGTTTTGGCCAAACTTGACCCACTTTACCATGCTGCACTGCGTTATATATCAAATGCACCCTATAGGACTCATCATTGCACACTGTATAGCCTAACTGGATGGTCCTCACTTACTATGCGTATGATGCAGCACTGGTTTTTATTAATGTATAAAGCCATTTTAGGTAAGCTTCCACTCTACATATGTGTCAGATTTGCCCCAGTTTTTGACTCTTACAACCTCAGATCCAGTGCCTGGATACGGTTCCAGGTACCTACTGTACGGACTGAGGCTGGAAAAAGGAGTCTTTCTTATTATGGTCCTTGGTCTTGGAATGACCTTCAATCACGCCTTAAACTGAGGGCACTTGTCTCTATATCATGTTTTAAATTGAAGTTGTCTGAAGTCCTCACCACCAGCTGCTCTTGCAGTAACAAGTAGTGTACTTTTTTATTGTCCTAATGTGCACAATTTAGTGACGGCTTTTTCGTCTTTTGTTTTCTTTGTTATGTTCTCTGTATTTTATATGTTTGTGTTATGTGTTATGTGTAACGTTGCTGCCTTCTTGGCCAGGTCAGCATTGAAAATGAGATTTTATCTCAATGTTTTTATCTGGTTAAATAAAGGTTAAATAAATAAAAATAAAAAAAAATTCAGCCCAAAGTTGCACACAGATGAGCAAGTTAGGCCAACACAGGATGTAGACATTTGCTGTTAAGCCAGTGGTTTCTTATTAGGCCAATTCAGCATATACAGTAAGATGAGAAAGTATATTTTTTATTATGAAAAACACTTTACATTACTTTTTTCCATTTTTTTTTTTTACAATTATAATTTATTATCTTTTATGAATATATCTGGTTGTATATATTGCTCATTTTCCATAAAAGAAACAAATGTATTTCAGTTTGTGTTTTATTTGAGTTTGATGCATACAAATACTGTACTGTATATGATGATTGTTGAAAATGCACTTTTACCATAAAAGGCCAGCTCGACCAGTTGGTAGAGGCTCATAAAAACAAAACTGTGTGGTCAGTCAACAAAATTAAAATTATTTGTGGCCCATTTGATAGAAAAATGCAAACAAATAATTTTTCCATAGCTTTTTTCTTGTTCCGGCAGTTAAAGGGTTTTAATGGTGTCCAATAAGTTTAAGACCAGTCTACAGACAGACTTCTGGACTTCAGGGATTAACCTGGACCCTCAGAAACAAAGTGAGAGTCTGTTTCTCCTGTGAACTCAAACTCAACTTTATGTTTGACCCAGTTTGTGTGTACAGAGAGATCGAAATACCGTTTCCCACAATCCCGAATATAAAAACAAATATATAAAAATATGTATGCAAATATGTATATACCTATATATATATATATATATATATATATATATATACACAATCAAAAGACACATTTATACATATGCACACATTAAGCCCTAAATAAAAACCCAACAATCAATATATACAAGATAACAGTCACTTCAATATCTTTGGGAAATGTACATTAGTGCAAAATTGTCCATAGCAGTGTAAAAAAGAAAGTGTCTGGTGCTGGATTTGAGTGTCTGTGTGTGTGGGAGTTATAGTCCAGTGGGGGCAGGGGGGAGAGGGGGGAGAGGGGAGGGAGGGAAGAGAGTTCAGCCTCCTGACAGCCTGGTGGGAAGAAATGTGTTTTAGTCGGGTGGTGCTCGACCTCAGGCTGCGGAGCCTCCTCCCTGAAGGAAGGAGGGTGAAGAGGCAGGGTGGGGTCACCAGCAATGCTGAGTGCTTTGCGGGTGAGGAGGGTGTTGTAGATGTCCAGGAGGGATGGGAGTGAGGCATCAATGATCCTCTCAGCTGTGTTCACGATGCACTGCAGGGTCTTGCGGTTCGATGCTGTGCAGCTTCCGAGTTGTGAATTTACTCCAGGTGTAACTAAAGTCTGATTTAAGACTTGATTATATTTCACATCATTAATCCAGATCTGTCAAGTAACTAAAGGTATTACATAAATGTGGTGGAGTAGAAGTACAAAGTAGCATAAAATAGAAATATTCAAATAAAGTACAAGTATCTCAAAATTGTACCTAAGTACAGTACTTGAATAAGTGTACTTAGTTACTTCCCACATCTGAAATCAGATATGACTTCAAGTCATGTGCTCATTTCTTAGTAGTTGATCCTTCAACTTGGCCTCAGGAAATGCAAGGACTTCACAGTTTTGCCAACAAGTTTTGGAGAAAGCAAATCTGAGGCTTAAACAGGGACAGGGAGGTGCATCTGCAGCATCTTCATCATCTACCATGCAAGAAGAGGAACTAGAGGACAGTGAAGGAGACACTGAGGAGGATAGTGAGGAAGACTGCACTTATTAAAACCACGCTACGTGTGGGGTGAGTACCAAACGCTGTCTCCTGGTACTCATCTGAGTAACTCACTAAAAAAGTGATGTGCACCCCTGGATATCCAGTCGATGGATGCTAACAACAATCCCTGTAACCAGTGCCCTCTCTCTGTCTCGCTCGCTCACACAAAATGTGCTGTGCCACACGCACACAGAGCCGAGGATGGAGACAACATTTTGAAATTCTTTTTTTCTTCCCACCCTATTTGCGGGTGGATTCGCCTATACTGCTATGCCACGAGCCAGCCCTGTACCTGCATATAGCCGCAACTTGAAAATGTCAACTTGATCGAGATATTTGTGTGACGCTCTGATCTCAGTGTTGAGATTCTGCTACTGTCGTCACTGACGTGCTGACGTGCTGACGTTGAATCAGTAAAGGAAAACATCAGCAGCCAGAGCTTTACAGTACCTCATATTAATTCAGTGTTTTTAATGTATGTGTATGAACCATAGACTCTGTATGGTACACACAACAGACCTCACTGCCTCCCCTAGCGGGCTGTCCTCTACAGTCTATGGCTGTCCTTTGCGTCCGCAAACACCCTCACCCGTCTTTACCTCCGAGCCCGTCTGGTTCAGTATTATTCCCGAGGAGGAGCAGGGTTTTGTGGACCAGACTGAGCGAGTATTTTTGTGGCTACTGTGTTTGGTGTTTTGAAAGTTCCGACGTGATCCACAATGTACAATAGATGAAGACAAGATGCAAATTATCATGACTAGCCCTTAATGTCTTAATGTAACAATCCTCATACTGGTGTGTTGGGTATGGAACGGGATTTCAAAATATCGCAATTTATATTGTGTATCGCGATACAGGTTAAAAATATTGCAATATTATTTTTAGGCCATATCGCCCAGCCCTAATTTTGATGACGTATGAGTTGCTATATACGATGAACTTGCTGTGTCCAACTTTGAATTATGTTATGAATCCAGACAGGAAGATGTTTTTTATTACGTACATATACCATGCGCTATAAAGGATGTGTTCATCTCAACAGAGGGAAGAGGAACACATCCAGAACAAGAGCTGGAGTGCAGGGAGCCAGTCACACCACGAAGTGGTACACAGTACGAAGTAAGTCTAAATATCTGTCTGCTGGGGTCTTCATGTCTGAAAACAGGATTCTTCCTGGTTTATTTGTTACAGCAAAGACACATTCATTCTGAACCCTTTTATTTATTTGTTTTATTTGTATTACTCACATGTTTCCTTCTCCTTCAGCAGATAGTGGTCTGCAGGAGGTTTTAGATGAACACCGGATCAGTCTGAGGAGGAGATGTAAACATGTGACTGAAGGAACTGATGAAAGTGAAACCCTCCTCAACAGGATCTTCACTGAGCTCTACATCACACAATGCCTGAGTGAAGAGGTTAATACCCAACATGAGGTGAGGCAGCTGGAGACAGCTTCCAAGAAGAAGCCCCTCCATGAAACTCCAATCAAGTGCAAGGACATCTTTAAAGCCTTACCTGACCAACAGACTCACATCAGAGCGGTCCTGACCAACGGTATCGCTGGAGTTGGAAAAACCTTCTCAGTGCAGAAGTTCACTCTGGACTGGGCCGAGGGTTTGGAAAACCAAGATGTCAGTCTGGTGATCCCGCTCTCCTTCAGGGAGCTGAACCTGATCAAAGGTGAGCAGTACAGTCTTCTCAGGCTGCTCCATGTTTTCCATCCAACCTTACAGAAGGTCACAGCAGAGCAGCTGGCTGTCTGCAAAGTGCTGCTCATCTTTGACGGCCTGGATGAAAGCAGACTTTCTCTGGACTTCAGAAACAATGAGGTTGTATCTGATGTCTCACAGCAGTCCTCAGTCAACGTGCTGCTGACAAACCTCATCAGGGGGAAGCTGCTTCCCTCGGCTCTCGTCTGGATAACTTCCCGACCTGCTGCGGCCAATCAGATCCCTCCTGAGTGTGTGGACAGGGTAACAGAAGTACGAGGCTTCACTGACGCCCAGAAGGAGGAGTACTTCAGGAGGAGATCGAGTGATGAAGACCTGTCCAGCAGAATCATCTCTCACATCAAGAGCTCCAGGAGCCTCCACATCATGTGTCTGATCCCAGTCTTCTGCTGGATCACTGCTGCAGTTCTGGACCACATGTTGACTACAGACCAGCGAGGACAGCTCCCCAAGACCCTCACTGACATGTACTCACACTTCCTGCTGGTCCTGACAAAGAGGAAGAAGCAGAAGTATGAAGAGGGACATGAGACGAGTCCACAGAAGCTGACGAAGGCTGACAGGAAGGTTCTTCTGAAGCTGGGGAGGCTGGCGTTTGAACATCTGGAGAAAGGAGACATCATGTTCTACCAAGAAGACCTGGAGCGCTGTGGTCTTGATACCACCGAGGCCTTGGTGCACTCAGGAGTTTGTACACAGATCTTCAAAAGAGAGAGTGTGATCTTCGAGAAAACAGTCTACTGCTTTGTTCATCTGAGCATTCAGGAGTTCCTGGCTGCAGTCTACATGTTGCACTGTTACACCAACAGAGACACAGAGGTACTGAAGGACTTCCTGCAGAGAGACTATAGCAACAGGTATAACAGTGATCAGGATTACCCATCCCTGGATTTCTTCCTGGAGGGAGCCATGAAGAAATCCCTCAGAAGTGAAAATGGCCACTTGGACCTGTTTGTCCGCTTCCTCCACGGCCTCTCTCTGGAGTCCAACCAGAGACTCTTAGGAGGCCTGCTGGGTCGCACAGACAACCGTCCAGAAACCATCCAGAGAGCCATCAACAACCTGAAGGAGATGAACAGTGATGAAATCTCTCTTGACAGGAGCATCAACATCTTCCACTGTCTGACAGAGATGAAGGACCACTCAGTCCATCAGGAGATAACAGAGTTCCTGAAGTCAGGGAGCCGATCAGGGATCTATGTGTCTTCTCTGGCCTATATGCTGCAGATGTCAGAGGAGGTTCTGGATGAGTTGGACCACGAGAAGTACGAAACATCAGAGGAGGGACGACAGAGAGTGATTCCAGCTTTGAGGAACTGTAGGAAGGCTGTGTGAGTCCAGATGTGATTAACTTTAGAAACTAATGTAGATATTAAGTTTAGTTTTTCAATAAACACTATTAAACTTTTTGCTGTTTCAAATACTGTGAAAGATAAATGTAATTATTCTAATAATTAAAAATGTTTCAGTTTTTTATTTTCTTCATTTTTCTTAAGGACTTATGATTTATCACAGCACCATGTGATCACAACATACAGCAGTATTTCACAGATATCAGTGAATGCAGTAAAGTTATTATTACATTACTGCAGTTTCTTAATAGTTAAATCAGACACAGAGTAATATCTGATTTATGTTGACTCTTTTAAAACAAGACCTACATAATCCCACCAATAACAGAGGTCAGATTGTGTTTTAACGCTGATACACAGATAACATCTTTTTCATGGTGTTTTGTTGAAAATAATGTAAACCTATTGGTTTGTTCAATATGTTTGTGTGCATTATACATTCTTAGATGCTTTGAGAAGCCAACACATTATGCATTCAGTGTCATGCACATCCATATATATTAACTTTTCATTATGTACATCTCTTATATTGTCGATTTGTTTAATTTCTGTTCACTGACAGCAGGAGGTAGGTCCGACGGGACAAACATGGGATCAGATCACACTGAAAATGCTTACAGCAAACTCAATAAAATATTAATTGTACTAACATCAGAGTTATTAAAAACATTATATTCAAATAGTTTTTTCAACAAATGCATAAAGTAAATGTAATGTTTCCCCTTGTTTTATAATAACATATGCTGTAATATATGTGTCATTGCAGATTTCCTTACTGTGGAATCTCAGACTCTGACTGTGAAGTCGTGGCCTCCGCTCTGAAGTGCGACCCCTCCCACCTGAGAGAGCTGAACCTGAGTGGCAACAAGCTGCAGGATTCAGGAGTGGAGATGCTGAGTTCTGGACTAAAGAGTCCAAACTGTAAACTGGAGACTCTCAGGTCAGATCACTGGCTGTAGTTCATGTGGATTTTTATTTATTTATCATTTATATTATTTCTAATTCCAGAGTTTAGTACTAAGAGTTCAAAGACATTTAAAATATTTTATATTTCTTTCTAAATGGCTGAGTATTTTAAAGAATAACAAAAAGCAGAGAAAGTAAATGTGTGACTCTGAAGTCCAACCGCTCTCATCTGAGATATCCTTTCAGCCTTCACTCTCACTGTGCTCCATGAGTCAGTGAAGATGCTGTCAGTACTGATGAGCTGTGAGGGAGATGAAGGAGGTCAAAGATGTTGCAGAGAAAAACTGCTGCAGAGAGTTTGAGCTTATCAATTGTTTTGAATCTACATCCTTTGAAGAATATGGAGGGTGGTGAGGGTGGTTGGTTCAAGGACTAAACAGTCAACGCAGTGGATTTAAAGATGAGCACATGGAGGCAGGAGTTCCAGATCATTGTTTTTATTGTAATTTGTTGATTCTTGTTTGTCTTAATTGTTGTCTGGTTGATCTGGTAGGAAAGTACAACACATCTTAGGTAGTTCAAACTTAACATTCATACTTCAAATGATATTCCAGCAAAGCAGTTATCTTTCTACATTATTATATGTAATGTAGAAATAAAGTAACCAAATCTAAACGGTACAGAAAATAGGGAGGTAAACTACTCGAGCTGCTGTGAACATACAATACAAAGGAAAGGAACACGTACTGATTATTTACTCAAACGATTGGTTCTCAGGAGTTGCATGAGGCCAGCCAGCTTCTTTGTTCATGGGGGAAAGGATTTTCCACAGGTGAGCTGGAGGAGGGAGCAGGTAGAGGGAGGCCGGAGTGGGAGAGGGGTTTTCCACATCATTGCTGACATTAAAACCCTTTTGAGCTCTGAACCGATTATTAAACCTTACCAGGGTTTAGTATAAACCGGGTAACAGGGGCGCTGCGCCCTCTTACTGTCAGCGTGCGCCCGCATACCAAAATGCTGATTTTCCTCGTAAATTGTCAAAGTGATGCCAGAAAGCCATATTTCTGTTCGTCAAAATCTGTATAATTCCTCCAAAAATATGAAAATGGTGTCAAATAGAGCGTCAGACGGCAGAGACAGCTTTGTTTTGACTCTGAATAATTATGGGATGGATGTCCGGTGGGTCTGCAGCAGGTTTACACTGAAACTGAGATTTCTGAGTTTCTTTCACTGTCCTTTTTTCTGTAGAGGAAGTAAAGAAACTGTAACTCTGGATTTATTTGTTGTTTGAGGTGCAGTATATGACTCAGCAGCTTTAAGACATGAAGACACTATTATTTTCCACTTCGCTCTAATGAAAGTAGGCGGGGCCAGAAATGACTTTAGCGCCCTTTCTAGGAACATTGCTTTCTAAAGTTACATCATGTTTTCTTTATTCAGGCTGGAGCGCTGCAGGTTGTCAGAGATCAGCTGTTCTGCTCTGATCTCAGCTCTGAAGTCCAACCCTTCACATCTGAGAGATCTGGACCTGAGTCTCAACAAGCTGCAGGATTCAGGAGTGGAGCTGCTGAGAGATCTTCTGGAGAGTCCAGACTGCAGACTAGAGACTCTCAGGTCAGTAAGGGGTCGACTCTCTGCTGGTTCAGCAGTATTGTATTAAACACAGGGAGGTGGAGGGGTTCCTCTCACTGGGGAATCTCTCCAGTTCCACCTTCCAGGCGTAGCCTAGCTTAGCACAACAAATCATGGATGTTACCATTTGTCTGCAGTTTCTCCTTTTGTTCATCTTATGTTTCTTTTCTTTCATTCTCCCAAGAACAATATAATGCAAGCTGACAATGCAAAGCCACATGTTAGTCAGTGCAACTTGTTACCAGACATATGGGATTCTACAGAACATGTGTTGACTGTGGCAGACTAATGTTGAGCTTTAAATTAAAATACAACAAGAAAATCCTACACTTCATAATTCACTCTGAACATTTAAACACCTGGAGTTCATTTTATATTCTCTATCAGGTTTCTTTTATAAATGATATAATAAACAGTTTATTACAGTTAATACATATTTCTATCAAAACTATTAAACACTAACCAATAATTTTAGGTTTTGCTTTTTCTTAAACATTTGTATGAAGCTACATGATGCTCATACTGACTGAGGAGTTTAAACTGAAGATGCTTTGGATGTATGGCTCCACTATTCCTAAAATAAATATTTTCTATTTATTTTTTATCACATTTCTAAATTCATCCTGACATATTTATCATATTTGTAAACTGTGTGATCTTGAGTTGAATCAGTTTCAGTGGGTTTGTATTAGTCTGGCTGCACATCATGAGTTAGTGTAGATGGAGCAGAGGTTCAGATGTGAAGTCTCCACTTTTTATTGAAGGTGAAGCACGTTGTCTTTAATATTAATGAGAGCTCTTTTCTCTTTCTGGATCTTACAGTTTTTAACCTGTCAGGATGTCCACTTTATAAACTCCTACATTCTCTACTTCTCCAGCTATAAACAGATTATTGAACCTTGAATATTTTAAGCTGAAACTTTGTTTTTCTAAACTTACATCATGTGTTCTTTATTCAGACTGAGGAGCTGCAGTTTGTCAGAGATCAGCTGTTCTGCTCTGATCTCAGCTCTGAAGTCCAACCCATCCCATCTGAGATATCTGGACCTGAGTCTCAACGATCTGCAGGATTCAGGAGTGGAGCTGCTGAGAGATCTTCTGGAGAGTCCAGACTGCAGACTGGAGGGTCTCAGGTCAGTTCTCCATCTTTAACTTCTGTGCTGAGATGAATATGTGAGAGTTGTGTTGACTCTGAGCTGCAGACATCAGGCTGATATGATCCTGATCCTCACGGAGTATCTTGATGTTAAAGTCTATTTTCTTCTTCTGTGGTTTCTTTCCCTGAGAGTGGCAGAGCAATGTTAACCTGTTTCACGCCTTCCCCCCGGTACCGGGCGGATAAACGCGTCATTTGCAGGAAACAACGTCTAAGGAATCTTAATATTGAATAAAACTATGAATGTGTTATATCCATGTAACGGGAAGAAACTCAGCTAACTGATCTTTTTAATTTTTTTTTTCAAAAAAAACCCACATTGCTAGCACTCAGCCTCTGAATTAGCCTCAAGCGAAAAAAACGTAACATACTAAGGCAACTAAACTCACTCTAACTCCCTTATTACTTATCCTAGATGCACAACCAACCACTCGTTTTTGGTGTCCTGGAGACACTGAATCTAACGGTGCCCACCTCAACACTCAGTGATAAACATTCGCGACGCTATCAACGAAAGCGTACATCATCACATGTGGAGCCAAGAAGCTAAACATGTAAATATGGCTCACCTTGGTCAAAAGTGGTCTTCAATGGCATTAAAACGATAAAAAAACGATGCTGCAGTTAATCCATAGGTTCATCCTATGTGTCTGTGCCTTCTTTGAAATTATTTCTGATAATCCATAAGCAATACAACTGCGTTTTAGTTTCCAAACTCCAGAAGGAGACATTCCTCCAGTTTAGTTTCGCTTTCCACACGCGAAGCGGCAACATTTTTTCTTTATAATGTATGTGTATGTGAGTCTCCTCCTTCGATTCTATTGGCTCTAACGGTCACAAGGGTATGTCAACCAACCAGATCGAGCAAGGGGGGCCAGAGATAGGTCAAATCCACCCAAATGACCCCAGATGGCCCAGTTTTTGGCTAAATCTCTCTAAAAAGGTCAAATTTCACTTGTTTTGCATCAATCTTGATACAGGGTACTTATTATATGTTGTACTTTGGATTCCTAAAGCTTTTAGTCTACTAACCCATCATCCAAGGGTAGTTTTCACTATCTGTAAAAAATAATTTTTGGACGGACACTATAATTTACAGTTTTTTACTATGTAAAATCTGAATTTTCTTTAAAATAAAAAACATTTATATTGATTCTGACACTTCTACATCCAACTCACAGGTTTATCATTACTTTGAGAAAAGATTATTAATTTAACCCTTTTAGAAGGGAAGATATGGTCATTTGTTCTGGGAATGTCATTTTCGAGCCTGAGACCTGAAAAACAGGCTCAGAGTGGAACAGGTTAAAGAGCAACTTGCAGGTTTTTCTTTTACTAGATTTACACTTTACCTTGCCTGAAAATTACAATTAAAAAAGTTAATGCAGTATTTGATATGTTTTACGAGACATAAGGGCAGGAATTCAGAGGGAAAGGAGCCGTTTTGAGCTCTGCTACTAAAAACAGCTTTTTTTTAAACGTCATACGTCAAACGTGTCATATTACGTCACATGGGGGAGCAACTTTCTCGGACCCCTTCTCTGCCCAATCCGCGGTAGTAGTTTGTAGTTGGTTTGAGCGGTTGTGATTTAGTGAGCTGGTATTTTTTCGGTAATTTAGTGGGAATGCCGATACAGCATTCCAACTATATGTTATGCTACGGACAAAAAGTGTATTATTCCGTCCAATTATTTTGTCCGTCTTCTCCTCCCACATTCAACATCGCAGAAACTCCGTTCAAACATCAAAACGTTCAGCTCGGTCGGGAATCGGGCGCTATTACTTTTATCATTCATAACTTTCATAATTCCAGAGATACATCCCATAATTCATCACATTTTTAACATTTGAACTTTAACATTGCGCAGCTCTAAGTTAGAGTGCGTGATGTCACAGCTAGAGGGTAGGAAATCTTGAAATTTCCCTTCATATGTTTTTTTAAAACTGCCATAATTCCCAAACCCTACATTCCTGAGACATAATTTTTCATGAGAAACGTAGGAAAACATCTCGTAGCTTGAAAAATGACAAATAATTATGCAAAAATAATTAAACAAAATGCCTCTTGAGGGCATGAAGTGACAAAAACGTTCAACATGTCTCCATTAAAGCCCATTGTAATTTCAGGCAGATATTTCCTCACAGCAGCAGCCGCACAACTTTCTTAAGCTGCCAAAAAGGCCACATTATTAATCCGAAAGTACACAAAAATTACACTTCAGATACTCAACTTCCTTGACATGCTTCACGTTTTGAAATTTCACAGATATCTGTTATCGTTCTTCCACAAAACGTTCACATGTAAGAGGTTCATCTCTCATTCAGAACAATGAAGCCTTTGATCTCTTCATAGCTCGTTAGCTCAACTATAAACACCTGTGTAATGGAACACGATGATGTCATCACTCCAACTGACAGCAGTCAGTTCTAACTGTTCATTTCATACTCACTCACACACACTCTCTCTCTCTCTCACAAACTCTCTCTCTCTCTCTCTCTCTCTCTCTCTCTCTTTCTCTCTCTCTCTCTCTCTCTGCCACACCGGTCCATGCCTCAACAGCTCTACGCCAAATCTGAGATCTCACCATATGCCGTTTCCATAAAAGACGATGTCGCTATAACTCCTATGAAAATGTTCAAAAAGTGCTCAAACTTCACATGTGTGCTAACAGTCCAGCCGTGAAAACATCTACGGGACAGTTTTGAGATTTCTTCAAATGCCGTTGCCATGGCGACAGACCACTCGCCATGAAGCACGATGTCGCTGTAAGTCCAATGGACACGGTCCGATCGTCCCCTAATTAGTGCGAATGCTGTGCCACAGCATTCCACTATAGTTCTTCGAATCTTTATTAGTGCGAATGCTGTGCCACAGCATTCCACTATAGTACTTCAATTCTTTATTAGTGCGAATGCTGTGCCACAGCATTCCACTATAGTACTTCAATTCTTTATTAGTGTGAATGCTGTGCCACAGCATTCCACTATAGTACTTCAATTCTTTATTCTTCCCCTTAATATTAACAGTGCGAATGCTGTGCCACAGCATTCCACTATAGTACTTCAATTCTTTATTAGTGCGAATGCTGTGCCACAGCATTCCACTATAGTACTTCAATTCTTTATTCTTCCCCTTAAAATTATTATTAGTGCGAATGCTGTGCCACAGCATTCCACTATAGTACTTCAATTCTTTATTCTTCCCCTTAATATTATTAGTGCGAATGCTGTGCCACAGCATTCCACTATAGTACTTCAATTCTTTATTAGTGCGAATGCTGTGCCACAGCATTCCACTATAGTACTTCAATTCTTTATTCTTCCCCTTATTAGTGCGAATGCTGTGCCACAGCATTCCACTATAGTACTTCAATTCTTTATTCTTCCCCTTATTATTAGTGCGAATGCTGTGCCACAGCATTCCACTATAGTACTTCAATTCTTTATTAGTGCGAATGCTGTGCCACAGCATTCCACGATAGTACTTCAAATCTTTATTCTTATTATTATTTCAGCCAATACTTTGGCTCTCCATAACTTCAGCTTATTCTCAGCTACAGAAACCATTCAAATATTAAACTATTCAGCCTGTTCAGGAATCGATGGGAAACCTTCACATTTTTAAAAATATTTTATACTTTTTGAAATATTCAGCTTTTTAAACTCTTTTTTTTAACATTGAAGTCAATGGGAGATGCCTTCAAATCCTCTTTTCCTACACTTTGCACCAAATGCTTCTCCTTCCACATAATTTCAGCTAGATACTTCATTCCAACTTTCAAATGATCACAACACCTTCAGCTATAAAACTTGTTATTCAGATTCTTCATATCTTTTACACTTCTTGAGATATTTAACTTAGTTTGGAGCTTGGTAAAGAGGCTTTCTTCAGATTTTAACATTAGTGTGGATGGAGCAGCTCGTTAAGTCTAGAGTGCTTTGATCTCCAAACAGAGTGGAAGAGTGCTTGAAATTCTCCCAAAAAAAAAGTTTTAAACCTGCCATAATTCCCAAACCCTACACTCCTCAGACATCATTTTTCATGAAAAACGTAGGAAAACCTCTCCTAGGTTGGAAAATAAAAACAAACTAGAAAATGCATTTCCTGCAGAAAATGCGTGCGAATGCTGTAAACTGTGAACATTTGTGGCTGAATTTAGCTGAAAATGCAGAAAAAGCTGAATATGTTATTAGCTGAATGGTAGCTGCTTTTAACTACAGAGACCAAGTCAGTGTGTTGCTGATCTTAGCAGAGAAATGCAGAAAAGTGAAATGATTTGAATCAAATTGTTACAGCTCAAATGCATTGCAATGACTTCCATGTTAAAAAAAGACTTTAAAAAGCTGAATATTTTAAAAAGTATAACATATTTTGAAAAAGTTGAAAGTTTCCCATCATGTGCTGAAAAGGCTGAATAGTTTGATATTTGAATGGTTCCTGCAGCTGGAATTAGGCTGAAGGAGTTCAATAAAGATATTACATGCAAGTCTGTCTGTCTGTCTGTCTGTGTCTCTGTCTGCCTGTGGGCATGTCTGCTCTGATTAGATGCTGCTTGTAGCTACAAAAACCAAGTATGTGTGTTGCTGAACTTAGCGGAGAAATGCAGAAAAGTGAAATGATTTGAATCAAAATTGTTACAGCTCAAATGCATTGCAGAGTAGGAAAAATAGTGAAGAAGCTTAATATTTAAAAGAAAAGGTTTAAAAAAGGTATAAACAACAACATTGATAGCCTCAATGTCCTGAAATAGCTGAATAAGTTAATAGTTGAATGGTTTCTGCAGCTGAAATTAGGCTGAAGGAGTTAAATATCAGATGTAAGTAGTATGAAGTCTCCATCAGACAGAAAATAATAGGCCGAGAGGAACAAGATGGCAGCCTGAGCTGAGAGCTCCGCACAACCTCAGTGATTAACTTGAGTTTTTTACCTCCACTCAGAGAAAAAGCTTAACATCTTTATCGACTATAGTTA